TATATATATATATATAATAAATGCATAACTAATGTAATATAATAGAAATAATTACTCAAAAAATAAAATTACTAACAATAGAAAATAGAGCTATATATAATTATCTAAATAAATGTACAATACTATATATGGATATATACACAATACTATATATATGTGTAAAATTTAAAAATTAATAAAGAAAATAAAATAACCATATACAAGTATATAAATATGTATAATAAGTTATTATTGAAAATAAAAATCTTAAATTATTGATTAAACAACAATTAAACCAATTAGTTACATCAAAGTAATCCAACAAAATAATAACAAGTTAATTATCTTTCAGCATGACATCACAAAATTAAATTTTACCCGCTAGCCTAACCTTACTCTATTCTTAAATAAATATGATTATTTCAGTTCGATCACAAGCAAACATAAAGGATAAACTAGTATTCAATAAATAAATATATAACAAATATAAAAAAATATATAACTATATTACCATCAAATTTTAAAAGTTTTTTTTTTTTTGTCATCAAACTATTTCATTATATAATTAACTTTTATGTTACCATATGTATTTTGACTATAAAATATAATTATAATTATGTATTAAAAAGATAAAAATTACAATGATAATTACATATAATAAATTTTTTAATTAACAGATAAAAATAAACAATTTTATCTTTTAAAATATACTAAATTTTTAATCAACGTGTTATTAATGTAAAGTGTTTGTCTATTTTATTAGTAACTAATTTATGTTAAACACTTCTAATTGAGTCTACTCTTTTAACTTCATTTCTTTTATTCTCGGTAGTTGAGTTCAATTACATAAATCATGTATTGGTTTTATTCTCGATAGTTGACTTAATTATTATGTGAGGAAGCATTTGTTATGATTAAAGACCTATGATTTCCCTCTATTATTGGTGGGTTCCATGCTCACTTTTTCTTAGTGTTGTTCAACCTGTTTTCTACTTTCGTGGACTCATACAAAGAACCTCTCACAGTTTTAACAGTTATTATAATATAATCATTTCAAAGAGTTAATGGAAGGTGCCCTGTTTTAACCTTTACCCATAGTTTTCTTATAACCATTTACTATAACACTAATAATTTTATTTTGGCATATATATAACACTATTCATTATCTACTTTCTTTTTTATTGAAAATGTTACATCACTGAAATGACTACCTAATAGTGCTTACTAAGTATGTATGAGAATTTAAAAATAGTTAATTTGACCAAATAACCATATAATGCTAAATTTTTTTTATTAGTTTTAATCTTAGTCATGTATTTGATTTGATTTATATAGTTGAGATTCATTCA